CTGGGAAAATCCACATTTGAGAACAAAATCAGTAATCTAGGATTTGTTTTATTTGGTCACAGAAGGTACAAATGATGGGTCTGTAATAGATTTTTCCAGTTGTCCTGGAATTTGAGTGTCATTTCTTTCTATTGCTGATCCTGAGAGAGACTAACAAGGTTTTGTTGACTCCAAATGGATATTCATAAATGACTGAAAAAGATGCAGATGCACACATAGCCAAGTCTATTTGCTAACATTAGGAAATTTCACATGTAAGCTGAGTAGGTATCTGATTGTGGTGCCATAGCACTGCTGCTGTTGAAAGCCACACAGTTCATGTAAATATCAATGTCTTGGTCATTGTTGACCCTTCTCTCTCATCCCCCACATCCTGGCAGTTGTCCAGTCCAGTCTGCCTCCTCAATTCACACATAAATGTCTCAGGTGGATTTTTCTTAAAAATAAGTTTTAATAGTAGTTAGAAATATTTAGTCATTTAATCCAACTTCCCTTCTGACCCATTATACTTTATGATTCATTCAGTTTGCTCAGCAAGGATCTATTGCTCTGTGTCAAGCACTAGGCTAGCAATTCCGGGGTGACAAAGTAGACCACTGAGTTTATATCTACTGAGGTATACATTATTAGAGAATCCCATAAACATATATGAAAGTGCAATTCTGACAGTTTCTGTGAGGGAAAGCTTATGGGACTACCTAAACTGGGTACTGTAATCAGAGAGGTCTGGGAAGACTAGTCTGAGGAAGTGATAACATGAGCTGAAACATAAAGGCCAAGAGGGGAAGGAAGATCCTACACGGGGAACAGCATGTACAAATGCTCTGACAGACAGGAAGAACTGAGGAGGCCAGAGCAGAAAATAGAGGGTATTAAGGTTGAACTGAAGCCAGAACATGCAGGTTTTTGCAGGTAATGTTAAGGGCTTTCTTCTTAATCTTAAGAGCAGCAGGGAAGCCATTGAAAAGTTTTAAGTGAGGAAAAGGAATGATTCAATCACACGTATGTTTATATAAGACCGTTCTGGCTTCATTTTGGAGAGAGCATGGGACAGGGAGCCAGAGTGGAACATGGTGGATCACTTGAGAGGCTTTGTGATCATCCAGAAGAGGGATGATGGTTGCTTAAATTATGGTGCTGGTGGAGGAGGTGGAGACAAGTGGATCTGGATTGGATATGGAGAGGATGGAGGGAGGTGTCAAGGATGACATCTAGAGTCTGTCTTTTCAACCGGAATGGTTTATGGTGCCATTCATTAGACCAGGTTTTCAGTTGGAGGTGTCTTCGAGACATTGAGGAGGAGCTGGTCAAGAAGGCCGCTGTATACGAGAGGCTCTCAGAAGAGAGGACTGGGCTAGAAATAGAAATTAGAGAGTCATCTAATATGTGAATCTGACTTATATCCAGAATAGCTTTCCAGACTTCTGGTTGAACATCTTCAAAATGACAGAAAATTCACCACCACAACAACCAGACATGCTTTAATTAAAGAAAGATGTTCCTTATGTTAGACTAAAAGCTTTCTTTTAATTAATTTTTATTGGCGTATAGTTGCTTTACAACGCTGTGTTAGTTTCTGCTGTACAGCAAAGTGAATCAGCTATACATATATATATATATATATATCCCCTCTTTTTTGGATTTCCTTCCCATTTAGGTCACCACAGAGCACTGAGTAGAGTTCCCTGTACTGTACAGTAGGTTCTCACTAGTTATCTATTTTATACATAGTAATGTATATATGTCAATCCCAATCTACCAATTCATCCCACACCCCTCCTTCCCCTCTTGGTATCCATACATTTGTTCTCTACTTCTGTGTCTCTCTTTCTGCTTTGCAAATAAGTTCATCTGTACCATTTTTCTAGATTCTACATATAAGCGATATTATATAATATTTGTTTTTCTCTTTCTGACTTACTTCACTCTGTATGACAATCTCTAGGTCTATCCACGTCTTCACAAATGGCACAATTTCATTCCTTTTTATGGCTGAGTAATGTTCCACTGTATATATGTACCACATCTTCTTTATCCATTCCTCTGTTGATGGACACTTAGGTTGCTTCCATGTCATGGCAACTGTAAATAGTGCTGCAGTTAACATTGGGGTTCATGTATCTTTTTGAATTATGGTTTTCTTCAGGTATATGCCCAGGAGTGGGATTGCTAGGTCATATGGTAGTTCTACTTTTAGTTTTTTAAGGAACCTCCATACTGTTCTCCATAGTGGCTGTAACAATTTACATTCCCACCAGCAGTGCAGGAGATTTCCCTTTTCTCAACGCCCTCTCCAGCATTTATTGTTTGTAGATTTTTTGATGATGACCATTCTGACCGGTGTGAGGTGATACCTCATTGTGGTTTTGACTTGCATTTCTCTAATAATTAGTGATGTTGAGCATCCTTTCATGTGTTTGTTGGCAATCTGTATATCTTCTTTGGAGAAATGTCTATTCAGGTCTTCTGCCCATTTTTGGATTGGGTTGTTTGTTTTTTTGATATTGAGCTCCATGAGCTGTTTGTATATTTTGGAGATTAATCCTTTGTCCGTTGCTTTGCTTGCAAATATTTTCTTTCATTCTGAGGGTTGTCTTTTCATCTTGTTTATGGTTTCCTTTGCTATGCCAAAGCTTTTAAGTTTAATTAAGTCCCATTTGTTTATTTTTGTTTTTATTTTCATTACTCTAGTAGGTGGGTCAAAAAAGATCTTGCTACAGTTTATATCAAAGTATGTTCTGCCTATGTTTTCCTCTAAGAGTTTTATAGGATCCTGCCTTACATTTAGGTCTTTAATCCATTTTGCGTTTATTTTTGTGTATGGTGTTAGGGAGTATTCTAATTTCATTCTTTTACATGTCGCTCTCCAGTTTTCCCAGCACCACTTATTGAAGAGGCTGTCTTTTCTCCATTGTATAATCTTGCCTCGTTTGTCATAGGTTAGGTGACCATAGGTCGGTTGATCTCTGGGCTTCCTATCCTATTTCATTGATCTGTATTTCTGTTTTTGTGCCAATACCATACTGTCTTTGTCCCAGTGCCGTACATACTTGTAACTTTGTAGTATAGCCTGAAGTCAGGGAGCCTGATTCCTCCAGCTCAGTTTTTCTTTCTCAAGATTGGTTTGGCTATTTGGGGTATTTTGCGATTTTTCACAGAATTAGAATAAAATCTTTCTGAAGTAAATTCTACTCATTAGTTCTGATTCTGCCATTTGGACAAATAGAATCACTACGTAATAGGACTTCAGGAATTTGAAGAAAACTGGAATGGTATTTCTCCCCACCACTCTGCCAGCCACCTTAGATCCTCTGTCCAGCAAAAATTCTTTTAGATCAACTCAGCAGTGTAGCCCTGGCCCATGCCTTCAGCTTCATCTATTACAAACACAGAAACAGACCCCCCAGAACACCTATATACCCACTCAGATTACTTCCACTCAGATCTAAATGTTGGGGGCTTCCTAAGCATCATATGTTTTCACAAACCTTTGTGCCTTTTCTCATGACTGTTACATAGGAATGGTTTTTAATTCCACCACTTATAAAATTACAGCTCTCTAGCAGAAGCTAATGAGACCAACTAGCTAACCATAGGAATATTTTTCAGGAGAATGGATCAGACAAGAAGTTGCCAGTAGCTCATAAATGTCCAGAGCTGTAGGACAAATTTGGACTTACTCAGGGCCAACATTGTAATATTCAAGTTGGTCCTGTCTTGCAAGCAGGACATGGCAGAAGGTTTTCTAGGCTGTGGGCTGTGTTCTGAGTTAAGAGCCTTCACTCTCACCTGCTGTTTTAGTCAGAGAAGCCTGCCTGCACTCACACAGAACTCCACAGTCCTAGTCCAGTCAGGAGTTCCTTGGGCATCCCTCCATATGGTCTTTCAGAGACTCGGGCTTCTTTCATCTAGTGGCTCCTCTAGGAGCCTTGAAGTCCTCCACTGGATCTTTTGCATCTTGTCAAGAGATGAGGGAAGAGAGAGCATGGGGATTATGCAGGAAGTTTTAGGAGCAGGAGATGGTTTACATTTCACACATTCCACTTCTCACGTTCCATTAACCAGAACTCAGTTACATGACCCATATAACTGCAGGGAAGGCTCGGAAATGTAATTTAGCTGTGTGCCCAGAAGGAAAAGGCAGCAGGGTTTGGTGAGCACACCTTCCTTATCCTTGAGGTGATACCAGTTTGGTCTCTTTTTCCCCAAAACCTTCAGTGATTCCCTGTTGCCTACCGAATTTAGAACAGGCTCTTAGAGACCCGAGCCTAGCCTTCCAGCTAAACGGGTGATTTCATTATTCCCCAAGCATACCCTACCCTTTCACTCTTCCATGCCTTTATTCAGGCACTTTCTTCTGCCTTGGGCACCCTACATCTCTTATTCTTGAAATCTTATCAGTCATTCAAGGTCCATTCAAGAAGTCACTCTTCATTCCCACTGGTCTGCCTTATGTTGTAGTTACCTGTTTACTTGTACTATCACCTCCCTCCAGACTCCCTGAGGGCAAGCAATGTGTCTTATCCATTTTGCATCACTGACAACCTCTAGGAAGTGCCTGGGAGTGCTCAATGAAATATTTGTTCAATGGAGTTACTTTTATTTAAATTATTTCCTTAAAGAGAAAATGCAGTGTATTTTTCAGTAGCTTTCCTTTTTTTCTTTTTTTCTCTTTTTCTATGAGGAAAAATGTTTGTGGTAGTGGTTCTCAGATGATACTGAGCACAAGAACCACTTGGGGGTTAATCTTAACCACTTGTTAAGATTATAGATTTCTGTTGCCCCCCCCACGCACAAGATTCTAATTCTATAGATCTGATAGATCTGGTGTTGGACCCCAGGATCTGCATTTTTATAAGTGCCCTGGGAGCGTGGGAGGGTTAAAGCGGGGAAGGATTCACATCATATGACCCCTAGATTGTACTTTCAGAAATATTGCAACATGGTGTGTGTCATTACGCCCATTAATGGACTACTATTCCCTTCCTTTAACAAAACAGATCAGTTCATTAACAGAGGGACAGGTAGCATGCGGAGCGGTAAAAATCAAGATGTTTGTCATATTGCCTTTGGATCCAAAGTTCTTGGACCACCTCCTCTCTCTGGCAGAAGAAATAACATGAGGATATTCAGTGAGGTAGGAGCAAGGTTTCAACAGCTTATGTAAGCATGGATGGCATGGGATGGGAAGGGTTTTTTTCCCAATGCAGAGGGAAAAAAAAGAGGGAGAGAGACTACATGCCAAAAGCAGAGGGCTTGAATAAATTTGGAACAGAAATTCTGGATTTTAAAAGACCTCAAAACTGTTTTCTTTTCCTCATGTCAAAGCAATTAACATTTTTGAGCATTCTTTTCATTAAATATGTGCACAAAACTTAAAGGCAAATATATGTGAGCACATTTTGTGGTCTCCTTCAAAAAGGAGTTGGATCATCACCAGACACCTTATAATGAACAGATTCTCAAATGTTATATTTTCATTTTTAATTTCCTCTGAATTTCTGACATACACAGTGATTTTCATTTCAACTCCTACCTACTAAAGATGGAGTGTAGCAAATGAGCACATTTTAATTTGTGTCCATGAGATTTGGTTGTCTTCTGTTTTACCTTACATTATATTTATCTCCTATTTCTTTCTAATTTTCTACCATAATTTCCCTCTCCACCAACTTTTTAATCTTCTCATTTCCTCTAGTTTGTTTTTACCTCACTATTTGTCCAGCTATTTTTCTATGTAGATTCTACAAGAAATAAGTGCAATTCCTATATTTTAAAATATAGATTAATTCCTTTTCCTTATAGACAGTAAGATCTGTTGGGTCCAAAAATAACCAATCGTGCCAGCAGTCTACAGTAGAGAAGTGTGTTAACAGGACAGAAATGTCAACCTTGCTGTTATCTGAGTCTGAGGCACAAGGAGATAAAGAAAATATTGGCCACATAAAGCAGACTGTACCTATTCATGGTAAGAATCATGCATAAAGATTGAGAGCTAGTGAAAACAGTGAGAAATGTTAAGATAAATCCATAGTTATATTCTTGACTAGATCTTAAGTCCAGAGAATTATCATTTAAAAATGAAAATGGTGGTGGATATTGTAATATGTTTAGAATTCTTGTACCGTATATTATCTTCTGGAACCTGTCATTCTGTTTATTCTGTTATTTTACATGGCTGTAGTACCCTGTATTTTTACTTTCTGATAACAGTGGGAAAATAGTATAGTATCCTATTATTGCTATGTCTTGGAAACCCCATGTACATTTTAAGTGTTCTTAGTTTTACCTTTTAATTAATCTCTTCCATTTGTAAAGTGCTCTTTATTTTCTCTCACTGGTACAAAAACAACCCTGTTGGTGAAGAAAAGTTTTATCCCGTTTTATAGATTGAGAATTCAGGGCTAAGAGAGTAAGTGATTTGCAATTTGTAATCACTGGAAAGAATTGAGACCAGAACCCAAGGCTTACCACTCCCTGTCAGTTTGTCCACTTTAACTGGTCTGACTTTTGTGAACATTGAAAAGGGGAGGCATTTGTGTTCATTTTATTTGATTTAGAATTTAACAATCACTGTTAGAGACTCTATCTCCCATGGAGTATAAAACTGAGATAAGGAAATAAATAACATAGCTATTCAGTCCCAGTTTTACCACTGTCTGTGAGACCTTGATCAAGTTTCTTAAACCCTACAAGCCTCAGTTTCCCCATCTGTAAACGGGGATACAATTACTACTAGCACTAGTAGTAGTAAGAAATAACAGCTGCCTCAAAGGGTCAGTATGAGAATTCAGTGAGAACAGTCAGTCAGGCACATCATATTGTGCCAAGAATTTAAATGTTCAGAAAATATCAAATGCTGCTGTGAATATTATTATTATTATTGTTACAGAATTAAATTACACTTAGGAATTCTTCAAGATTGATCTCAGTTCTGCAGGGTTCTTTTGGAAACTACCCTCTAAGCTCTTGTTGAATCAAACTTAAATCTTTTAAAGGAAAAAATAATTTTTCTGTATTGGCTGTCAATTTCATTTTAAAATATTTTTTAATATAGCATGTTGCAAGATTAACATTAATCTAATTACTTGTAGCTCTCTATATGGTTATATTACATGAATAAAATGTATCAGTAGTTTGTTTTTTCTTTAACACCTTTATTAGAGTATAATTGCTTTACAGTGGTGTGTTAGTTTCTGCTTTATAAGAGAATCAGCTATACATATACATATATCCCCATATCTCCTCCCTCTTGCATCTCCCTCCCACCCTCCCTATCCCACCCCTCTAGGTGGTCACAAAGCACCGAGCTGATCTCCCTGTGCTGTGCGGCTGCTTCCCACTAGCTCTCTATTTTACATTTGGTGATGAAAGCCTGATACAATTCTAATATTGGAATAGAAATAAACACCTGTTTCCTATAAAGGAATAAGTTGTGTTTTTTATACAGCTTTACGTTTTGTCAAAATGATACATGAACATTCTCATCATAGCTATAATTATATTTACTGAGTTATTTCAAACTATATAGTACTTTCTGTTCTGGCTTTTTGTTCTTTGATATGAAAATGTACCAGCCAATCTGCATATTATGCATCCACATCCCCCTCAAGAACCATCAGCTGATAAGAATAATAACAGGAGAAGATTTCAGTTAAAAAGAACCAGCAGAGAAAGGACAGAGACACCCAGCGGTATGGTACTAATTCAATACTATCTTATATCTGTATATTATTCAGAGCAATGGAATCTCTCTCTGCAGGTTGTAAATTTCAAGGGATTATGAACCAATTCATTTAAAATATAAATATCTGTTCTACAAGATTACGGAAATCAAATTTTTTACAAAAGAATTGCTCTATAGCCCTAACAGAGATTTGTTGGATTAAATAGACAGTACCACAAAAATAAAGGACTTCCTACTTCTACTCGCAAAGGCTGAATAAGCTTAAATTATTGATTTTTTTTTAATGGCCCAAATTTGATAGAAGTTCCTGCCTGCAGACTTCACTAAAATTGAACTTAACTCATCATTTTTCATTTTTCATTTATCTCTCCTCTTTTTAAATTGGGCCCTTTCTAGTTTGTTTTTTACATTTGCTGTCTCTCCTTTTGGACTCCTTGCCATCTACTGTAATGTAGGTTAAAGTTTCAACTCTTTGTAACCAGTAAAGCATTAGAGAAATATAGTTGGCTATTATAGTTATTGCTTAAAATATTAGATTTGAGGCATGTATGTATAGATTTGTATACACATGCATTAGTCTATCCTGAATCAAGCCCAGAATGTATCATGTACACACCTGTTAGCATAATTTCTCAAAAATATAGATTTCTTGGGTAGGCCAAAATTCTGCTTGCTAGGTTTCATGTTATTATTATAAAATAGTAGATAGAAAAATTACTTCTGCAATAATGCCTGTATCCATTTTTCTTAAGGTGCTGAAGGAAAGAGCTTCATTTAAAAGAGTTGAGTTCAGTAAAAACTGTAATTTAAAGAAAACACTCCATTTTGTATGGAACCAAAGTAAAAAATATAGGACCTTTTAAAAATTATATGGGTTTTGGAATTCCTTTTATTGCGTATTGTAAAACTTAAATTTAAAATGTCCCCATGCAAATATCAAGGAATTTTAAGATGAACCTCTACAAAAATGCAGCTGAGTTCATCTTAAAATACTCTCCTGAAAAAGAAAAAAACTGCATATAATCTGTATTGTCACCTCTTACTTGCTTTTCAATAATCAAATAGAAAAGTATACCGCAGTACCATCTTCAAAAATTAATGTATATATATATATATATATCAAAAGAAGTAATATAGAGGAAAATACTTATTCCAATAAAGGCAATTCTTCAGGAAATAACAGAAATGAACGTAAAGCAACAACTGTCCTCACCAGTGTGTTCCAACAGAGAACAGAGACATTGAACCCCAGCTCTCCAGCACCCCAGTCTCCTGATCAATCAGGTTAGCATCTTTATTATTACCATAATTTCTAACGATTAATAAAATATAAATATGTTAAATATTTCAAACCCGGTCATTTTGAAAAGTCATGATGCAGTCACTTGCTAAAATATATCATTTTTTTCAATCTCTTTTTAACCCCAATTTTATGTCAGACTTTAATGGATGAAGGAGTATTTTTATTTTCAAGTTTTAATGCACAAGCGGTCCTGTTCAGAATGAAAGTTTAAAACTTTCATATAACATTTCATATAACATTTTCATATAACATTGTCACCCTCCCCAAAGATTATCTATTATTGCACTTCTCCAATCCTCTTTATAATGGAGACAGTTGGAATATAGAGCATTGAACCCATCAACATATCTTGCCTAGCAGGTGTGTGGTACTTTTACAAAGGCAAATTGTTTTTGAGCTAGGGAAAAAGGAAAATAAATGGAAATTGTTTGTAGGTTGTCAGTCTCATTTATGCAGTGTTGAAGCCTTCATTAAAATGTTAGGCGCAATTAGTGTCTCTAGCATAAATCTGACTGTGTAGAAAAACTAATTAGATGTTTAGGTGATCATTCTTGCATTTATCTTGTTTGCTGCAATATTGTGATTACACAGTAATTTACATATTTTCCTAAGAAAACACACCAAATTATTCATTACAATTGATATGGAAATACTTGAGGTAAAACTACAAATTCCAAAGAAGCATGTGGTAGTGAGATAATTAGAGTTCTTTTGGTGTAAGAACACTTCTTTTACTTTGACTTTTTGACAGTTAATAATATGTTTGGTGCTAGATCATACAAGTTGTTTAATTGCATAATGAAGATCCCCAGGATCTTTTCCTCCGGTTTTCTTTACGTATCCTTGTACGTAATGCAACACATTGGTTTTTGTAATTGTATTCAAGGTTTACTAAAGCACATACTGTGTTCACAAGGCACCTACTAGGTGCTTAGCACCAGGCAAAAGTTTGCTGTCCAAAAGAGGACAACCCAGTGAATCTATTCATTTCACCTGACCACAGCTAACACTGACTCAGGACCCTCCACATTTTCTCTGAATGTGGTCAGATTGGGTATTGATATATTCAACCTGTTATTGACCATTTACCTACAGAAAATATGAAAGCCTTGTCCCTAATAGGTTTTCTCTAAGAAATGTATATTTATTGCCCTTTTTATAGGCAAGTTATGTTATATAATCAGTCTTAGGTTAAGAAATAGGTGAATACAGTTGAGAAGAATACAATTTTATTTGTGCCATCAATTTAATTTTTATTAAAGGTCTTTTTGTTTGCTTTCTGCTTTTGCTTTTGTAGTGTTAGCTTTAAAGTTTCAAGTGAGCAAATCTTAGGTCTTGGTTACTCTTCATGTGATGATAAATATAATATAATTCAAGAGTCAGGAGTAAAATTACCACGTCTACATTGTGGTTCTGCAGAACACGAATTCTTGTAAGATTTTCACCATTGACACAATGCAGCAAAAAATAAATTAAAAAAAAAAAAAAAAGACTAAGTTGAGAAAATGCTCAACTTTTCCTGCTGTCATTCTAAAGAAGAAAGTAAGCCTGCTTTTAATTATGTTTATTATAGAGATTTGTTTTTTCCAGGTCATAGAATTATAAAGTCTATTTCAATGTTAAATAAAGATTAAAATTTTTTAAAGTTTTGATAAAAATGTATCTCAGTTGTAGTATATAGTATTTTTAAAGAAAACAATGTGCAAAAAGATTTTCATATCAAAACATTCTCTCCTAAAATTAAATTAAAATTGAACATAAAGGTCCTTTTCACCAGCAGAATTCACCAGTCACATTAACAAATATTTCTGTGGATTTGCTTTTGACAAGTCTAGTCAGTTTAATCTATGAGTTGTCCTGTACGGATGAGTAGAATGGAGAGGGAAAGACTGTCAGCCTTTTCGTGGTTTTCCTCTCCTCCATGTTTTATAATCTGAACAAGGCCCAGATACTTTGTTTAAAGAGCTTGTTAAGTACTCTGTCCCCCTGAAATTAAAAGAAATTAGTAACTCAAACCCTTTTAAATTTGGAAGATTTTCCCCCTCTGAAATACCAAATTAATGAGGCTGTGCTATAAAGAACTTGCTGCAAGACAGATGATAATTATTTCAGACTTACAAATTCCCTGGCCAGTGTTTCAACTCAGATGGAGAGGAAGCACAAATGAGTTGCCCGTATCTATGAGCACTATCTGTGGGTTAAATGTTTAGCAGGTTACAAGATGGTGGATAAATTGCCTTCCTTGGCTTTTGCATTATTTGATAAATCTCTGTTTCAACAAGAAGGAATATTAACCTAACTACCTGCCTAAAATAACACTTATGGAACACTGTTCTAATTTTTGTCATCTTTTGCAAATGTCAGATGAGTGGATATTTCCTGAAAATGATGACCACATCCCCCATTTGGCCTCCAGCACGCAGTCTCTACTTCTGGATGAAAACTCCTGCAACACCTCACACCTGTGGCTAGAAGCCAGCAAGAAAAATGAACATGACCAACAGACAGAGGAAACCCAGATTGTTCCAAAGGATATTTTCACTTTTTCATCAAGACCACGATCAGCACCTCATGGAAAGACTCAGAATATGTCCCCAGAGGGGTGCCCATTTATTTTGGATCTAAAAGAGGATACCAGTGTAATAAGGAGAGACACCCAATTGGAGGATGATTTTTATGGTGGTGATAGCACTGAAGAGGTACATTGCTTGATGAGTGAAATAGTTCTAAAGCACAGTTCTATTGTCTCCAGCTAAGCCCTAAAACTAGTTGAAATGAAAGAGGGGAAGTCAACTGCTATTTATAAAAATGCAGCAGATTGCAATGTTAGTCAACAGTTGCCTCAGATTGTTATGGTAACTCTAAATTGCTGCCTTTTTTATTAACAGTCAGCCATTTTCATTTTTAATTATGGAAACCAGTTTTTGGTTTGATTTTCTTTTTTCATTTTAACCTTTGCCTCACAGAGTGAGAAATAATAATGCAGTTTAGTTATATGATAGCATGCATGTCCAGTAAAATATTGAGAACACATTGTTCTAGATCTCTGGGGAAATTGTGTTGCAGTTGCTAAGCATTCTGAATTGACACTTTTCTGGCTTCCTAACTCCCCTGCCATCTTTTCACCTTAGACCTATTAGGACTCATTATTTTCCATATGGTTCCAGAATTTCAAGAGTTGTGCCAATTAAAGTTTAAGTAATGAATCATGGATTAGTGCTGGGGCTTGCCTTACAGGAGGTTTTCTGTTTGCAATTATTTAGAATACACCTATATCTCATAAATCAGTAAATTCATAAAAAGTTTTTTAATAACTAATTAAATATCAAACTGAATGTAGTTCTGAAACATTTTTTTTAAACTTAATGTAACTCTTTTTCCCCGTATGAAATGAATTTATTTGTGATATTTCTTTAGCATTGTTCTTTAATAATAGGCATTTATATTTTCTAGAAAAAATAATTATCTTAAAAGCAGATTATAGTCAAGTTATGGTTTAGTGAAATTATACAGATCATTTATATGTAGAAATTATAGAAATAATCAGAAAAACTTTTTTTATATGCTTACAAAACTTTTTTTTAACAACTGTATCTGATTAAGAATACCCCTTTCAACAGTGGGATATACATTAAGTCCACAGCTCCTACCTTCAGAGCCAGTTGAGAATATGGTGAGATTGTTCAGGCAGTAATTATGTTTTTTTGCAACTTTTAATGAGTTTCTGTAGCAAAGTGCATGGGGAAATCCTTTTTTATAACCTCCTTACTTCTGAGTGTGATGAAACTATTAGTCATACCAAACATAAACCTACTACAAACCCCTTTATGCATAAGTGCATAAATAGTACATTTTAAATGTGCTGTGAACAACTTTATCCCTTTCACCCTACATAAAATTAAGCTATAAAACTGTAAAATGAATATGTCTTCAGCATCTAGTATTGCCCCCATCCCAGCTGTCAATTCTTATACAGTATTAATTGACTAATCTGATAAATCATACCATTTTGTTAATGGGGTAGGCCCATCCCCTTCCCATGTGCACAGCTTACCTAACTCAAAAGAATTACTGTGATGGGGGCAATGTCATGGCAGGTAGGAAATAATAGTTCTCTGGAAAACTTTGAGGGAAGTATTATGTAGAAACAGTCCTTTAAATAACACCCCATGAGGAACTTACCTCTCCACCTATATGAAGGAAAAGCCTTGAGAAGAAGCAATAGAGCTTTATGGGAAAATGAAGAATACTAGTTCTGTATATTTTAATTTGCTATCACTTTATGTGCTTCCTTTTGCTACTAGCTACTCTACTTCTGACATCCTTCAACATTTATTGTGCAGACATGTAGTTGTTACCAACTACATGAAATTGAAAATTAATTTATCATGCATTTTCAGAGCTCAGATTGGCATAGCTCTCTGGTCACCCCTGTCCCAAGACCATCAGAATATGGCCTGAGTCTGTAGTGGGACGATATCATTGCTAACACCTGCCCTGGCCCACCTTTAGTCAGAGCCTACTAAGAGTGGCAGCCAGAGAGAGGGGCAGAAGCCTTGCCATGTTATGCAAGCTTTGAGGTTTGCTGTTAGAGGCAATAACAAGATACAAACTAAAATACAGATGACTAACAAAAGTGCTAGGCTATATTTAAACAAGTTCTAGAATTTGTAATGATCCCTTTTTTATCAAATTGGTTTTTTGGGAGCTTTTTGTAAATTCTTTTCCTGTAGGATTATTTCTCCCATTTATTATATAAGTCAAAGGGAAATTAGATTACATACTTTATTTTATTTATTTTTTAAGAAGTTTTCATTTAATTTGTCAAAATTACAAAACACTTTCTTTGTTTTGCTCTCAAAATACAGTGAATCTGTCTTCATGTTCTGGATGCTTAGTTTTTTGTTTTGGGGGGATTTTTTTGTTAATTTTTTTTTTTTTTTTTGGAGTATAATTGCTTTACAATGTTGTGTTACTTTCTGCTATGCAATGAAGTGTGTCAGCTATATGTATACATATATCCCCTCACTCTTGGACCTCCCTCCCACCCCTCCATCCCACCCATATACAGATTACATATCTTAAATGTTTACTTACATATAGTCTTTGAAGAAAAATCAGTTGATTTAGGCATTCTTACTATTGTTGCATTATTTTATTTATTTATTTATTTTTAAACTTGCCTTCCATTTCTTTTCTTTTCTTTTAATTAATTTATTTATTTTGGCTGCGCCAGGTCTTAGTTGCGGCACTCAGGATCTTCGTTGCGGTGTGCGGGATCTTTTTTTTAGTTGCACCATGCGAACTCTTAGTTGCAGCATTTATGTGGGATCTAGTTCCCTGACCAGGGATCGAACCCGGGTCCCCTGCATTGGGAGCTCGGAGTCTTACCCACTGGACCACATGGGAAGTCCCTAGTTGCATTATTGTAGAATGTTATATCGTTAGAGTAACACTATTTTATCTAAGGAAAACAATGTCATGCTATAAATAATGGTGGACAGATGAGTAATAATTGGCATTGCTTATTATGCTTGAAGTTTATAACTTGTAGTTAAAAGACTTTATTTGGTGTTAGACCATTTGAATATTTTTAAAGGGAAGTTAGATGTATTCAGAAGCAAAAAACTAGGCACAATCATGGTATTATAATAGAGAAAAAATATACATATGACAGTAAAGACTAATTAAAATAAGCTTTCAATTATTGTAGTTTAAGTCCCTAATAATCAGTTCACATTTGAGATCTTCATCAGTGTGAGAGCCTTAAAAGTATGATTTTTTTTTTGCATATTCTCATCTTAGTCTTGGCTTTACTATATATTTTATTCCCTAGGCAGACATATATACTAATTTTCCTGATACTCAATTAATTTTGAATTTGTACTTCTTATCTGAAAAGCACACTATGGAAATATATCTGGTAGTGAGTTATAAAATAAGACTACCACGTAAAATGAATTATCTAGGAAAGCTGTTAAAACAGAGTACCCTTCATACAACTGCAGCTTCTGAAAGAAAAAAAAAAAGCATGTTACTATTATCATCTCTGTTTTGTATTTTATGCCATTTTTCCCAACGTGGCTTTGGGTATATATACCTGGTTGGTGATTTGAAATACTTAGCTTTCTATTAGTATTTTATTACTTCTCTAATTCAATTTTTTATCTAGAAATATAGTCATTTTCTTCCTTTTGTTTTGTTTTGTTTTGTTTTGTAGGTTTTGGCCCTACAGCCAAATAAAGATTTTTCTGTGGAAGCATAATGCCATCTAATTACCATGTCAGTGTGGTTGCTTGTAATTTGGACATAGAAATGTAGAAATATTGATAGAAATTATTGTGAGCTCTATGAATCAATATACTGACTTTGGACCTAACAATAGTAGGACACTTAATAATAGCTAGTGCCATTAGGCCTTAATAATAATTGAACACTTAATAATAGTTGGTGCCATTAGGCAAAGCATTATACACGCCTACAGGGGAATTAGTTACTACTTGTGACGCCATTTTATAGATGAACAGAGTAAGGGTCAGAACAGTGACATAGCTTGTTCAAGGTCATATGGCCGAGCAAGATGAACCTGGAATTGAGCTTGGGCACATTTCCTTAACTCCTTTTTTTTTTTTCAGAATTTTCTTTTATTTATTTTTTTATACAGCCAGTTCTTATTAGTTATCCATTTTATACATATTAGTGTATACATGTCAATACCAATCTCCCAATTCATCCCACCACCACCACCACCACCACCACCACTTTCCCCCCTTGGTGTCCATACGTTTGTTCTCTGCATCTGTGTCTCAATTTCTGCCCTGCAAACCAGTTCATCTGTACCATTTTTCTAGGTTCCACATATATGCATTAATATATGATATTTGTTTTTCTCTTTCTGACTTACTTCACTCTGTATGACAGTCTCTAGATCCATCCACATCTCTACAAATGACACCATTTCGTTCCTTTTTTATGGCTGAGTAACATTCCATTGTATTTATGTACCACATCTTCTTTATCTATTCATCTGTGGGCATTTAGTTTGCTTCCATGTCCTGGCTATTGTAAATAGTGCTGCAGTGAACATTGGGGTGCATGTGTCTTTTTGAATTATGGATTTCTCAGGGTATATGCCCAGTAGTGGGATTGCTGGGTCATATGGTAATTCTATTTTTAGTCTTTTAAGGAACCTCCATACTGTTCTCCATAGTGGCTGTATCAATTTACATTTCCACCAGCAGTTCAAGAGGGTTCCCTTTTCTCCACACCCTCTTCAGCATTTGTTGTTTGTAGATTTTCTAGTGATGCCTATTCTAACTGGTGTGAGGTGATACCTCATTGTAGTTCTGAGTTGCATTTCTCTAATAATTAGTGTTGTTGAGCAGCTTTTCATGTGCTTCTTGGCCATCTGTATATCTTCTTTGGAGAAATGTCTATTTAGGTCTTCTGCCCATTTTTGCATTGGGTTGTTTGTTTTTTTGATATTGAGCTGCCTGAGCTTTTTATATATTTTGGAGATTAATCCTTTGTTGATTCATGTGCAAATATTTTCTCCCATTCTGAGGGTTGTCTTTTCGTCTTGCTTGTAGTTTCCTTTGCTGTGCAAAAACTTTTAAGTTTCATTAGGTCCCATTTGTTTATATTTGTTTTTATTTCCATTACTCTAGGAGGTGGATCAAAAAACATCTTGCTGTGATTT